TTGGGTAAGGAACTACTTCTACCGTATATTACAAAGTCTATATAATATATAAACACATGTTTTTTCAGAGACAATTGATCTTTACCAAATACTGGAACTTCTATTCATACTTAATTTTATTCTCAAAAGAAAGTAGACAGAGTTAATTTGGGACGAGGTAACAGAATTTTTTGGCTAGCCGACCTAAATGATATGTCCCGTAGAAATGGTAGATGGTATTACATGTGTATTTTTCTGATACTTTCAAACTGAACATATTGTTATATTTTGCCGCAATTTTACAATTGAAACGTGTTTAATCGAAAAATATATCTGTGAAACAGACCTTTTATATATATTGTCATAAATTAGGTCGTTAGTTTTCTCGTTTGAATTGTTTCACATTTCTCATGTTGGGGTCGTTTTTAGCTGAATATGCGTTATGGGGTTTTATCATTGTTGATGGCGATACAATGACTAATAATTGCTACTACTGGTCTGTCAGTACCTCCCTTACTACAATCAAGGAACTTGTTATTAACTTTTGTAATAAAGTTTATGAAAATAATGGTATTAATTATTTTTGGAGTGTTAAAAATTCTTTAGAGGTTTTAGATAAAATACGTGCTTTTGATGGTCCTTTTAATTCTGTTGACAGTTATGATTTTTCTACTCTCTACACTACACTTCCACAGAATCTTATCAAGAAAAAGTTTTCATATTTAATTAAATGGTCTTTTGAAAAATCTCGTTGCAAATTTATTTGCTGTAACTCGTTTAAAGCCTTTTTCTGTAACGAAAAAGGAAAGTATGCTAGATACACTTACTGGAAATGTGAAGATTTGATTGAAGCTTTAAATTTTCTCCTGGACAACATATATGTACGTTTCGGCGATAAAGTGTATCGACAGGTAGTAGGTATTTCTACGGGCACTAATTGCGCCCCTTTAATAGCAGTTTTATTCCTATATTGCTATGAATCACAGTTTATGGCCAAAATCAGTAAAGACACGTCATTGTTACATTCAGTTGACACATTCAACAATACCTACCGTTATCTTGCTGATATTTGTTCATTAAATAATCCAGAATTCTCTAAATATACTACCAAAATTTACCCAAAGGAACTTACTTTAAATAAATCTAACATTAACAGTAGTAGTTTTCTAGATTTAGACATTTCAATTTCTAAAGGGAAACTCCATACAAAAATGTACGACAAAAGAGACGATTTTTCATTCCCTATTGTTAATTTTCCATTTTCAGACGGCGATGTTCCTTTGGCTCCATCATACGGTGTTTATATATCCCAACTCGTTCGTTATGCCCGTGTGTGTAGTGATGTCATTGATTTTAACGAACGTAATCAATGTATCACTGGTAAATTATTAAGTCAGGGATTTCGTTACCATAAATTACTTAAAGCATTTACTAAATTCTTTCATAGATACAAAGATTTTATTAGTAAATGTGGCTGTACCTGTAGAAAACTTATTAAAAATGGTATTTCACATCCTAAATTTTACGGTAATATTGTACTAAAAGCGCGAAAATGTAACACTATATGATCCGTGTAATCCTATCGATTAATTGATTGTTGGTGTTTTAACGCCACTTTTAAGCGCCACATTTGAGCTATTTCGTGGTGGCCAGTTTTTATTGGTGGAGGAAGCCGGAGTGCCCGGAGAAAACCACCGACCTTCGATCGGAAAACTGACAATCCTAGTAAATTAAGATTGGAGTCGATTGCACCCGCACGAGCGGGGTTCGAACTCACAACCTCAGTGTTGACTGGCTAGTGATTACAGTAGTAGAACTACTTAGACCACTTGGCCACCGAGGCCCCCTAATCCTATCGAACCTTTAAACAAACTTATTAGTAAAGGTTATCTTATAAATGTTGTGATGAGATCTTTGAATATTGTTTTCATTGGCACTAACATCGATTTTGTCATCAACAAATTAAAACATAACTAAATTTGTATTCTTTTCGAATGTTTTTTGGGATGTATAAATACACATCCACCTTTATTTTCTATTTAGAAATTGTTTTATCTATACATAACATCATACATATTTATTATAAGGTTAAATCCTAACTATCCTACTGCCTGTCGTTACTTTTATTTTGGCATTGCACAAGTCATGTCTTCTTTGACTGTCCACGGCGTTAAAAAACTAAATCCCTGCCTGGGATGTGTTTTAATTGATTTTAGTCTCTGATGAATGATTTTTTATAAAGTCTCCCAAACGAAGACTTATTGTTTTTGCTCAGTTCTTCTTCTTCTTATTCTTCTTCTTCTTCTTCCGCTTTTAAATTTGAACTTGTCCGCATCCGTTCTCCTAAACCGCTGGTCAGATTAACTTAGGGTTTCACAATATGTTAGACTAACATGTCTAGTGGTGCAATCAGGGTTTTGTTTGTGCAATGGGGTTTATAAAGGGGTACTTTGAGGGGCAAAAAGGAAGGAGGGTTTACTATAGAACCCTATGGGATTTTATTTTTTTTAATTTTCAAATGATTATAACTTGAAAACAGTTAGTGATAGACACAAGCTTTAAAATTGAAAATGTTCTAAATGATAAAGCTCATTAAATGAAATAAAAGGTTAGTCCCAAGGGGTAACCCCCACCCCCTGCCATTTGAGAAAGCTTTTATATCTTGTAAGTGGTCAAGATCCCCACCCCTAAACCATATATATTCTGGTTTGTCATGCCAAAATGATTTGAATAGTAAACAGGGTAAGATCCAGGGGTCTCCCCCACCCTAGCCATTTGAGAAAGTTCTAATATCTTGTAAGTGGTCAAGATCTCCACCCCTAAACCATATATATTCTGGTTTGTCATGCCAAGATGATTTGAATGATAAACAGAGTTAGTCTCCAGGGGTCACCCCCACCCCCTGCCATTTGAGAAAGTTCTAATATCTTGTAAGTGGTCAAGATCCCCACCCCATAACCATATATATTCTGGTGTGTCATGCCAAGATGATTTGAATGATAAACAGGGTAAGTTCCAAGGGGTCATCCCGACCCCTTGCCATTTGAGAAAGTTCTAATATCTTGTAAGTGGTCAGGATCCCCACCCCTAAACCATACATATGCTGGTTTGTCATGCCAAGATGATTTAAATGATATACATGGTAAGATTCAAAGGGTCATCCCCACCCCCTGTCATTTGAATATGTTCAAATGTCTTGTTAATGGTCAAGATCTCCACCCTTAAACCATATACGAGGGTTGTCCGTAAAATTCGTGGACAAGCTGAAGTCTGCGTAAAAATAGCATTTCTTGTAAATTCTTTTTGCATATTAGTAATTCTGAACTATATCCTAGTTCGGTTATATCAATAGTTGTCCAATTTTAAATACGAAATAATGACACTTACTTTATATAAATATAAGCAATAGGGACCCGGAGCATGGTGAAAATATCACATTACATGCAGGCTGGTGTTTTCATATTTTTGTTATTTTAAATTTCAAAATCCGCCAAAAAATACACGAAACATACATTGTGACGTTGACAATAGTCTTGCCGTTACACCTGCTAAATTTGAATGGTCAAAATTTCGAAATGGCGGAGAAATCTCGATTTGAAGCATTGAATTCAGAATCGGCTTCACTGAAAAAAAGGACATTTACGGAAAAGGTGGAGCAGCGGATGGTTATAAAGCTTTATGTAGACATCGGAAAGACGCCAACAGAAACACACAAATTCTTAAAACAGTCTGAGAAACATAGCAAAGTTAGTCGGTTATTGGAATTCAAGTGGCACAAAAGGTTTGGGGACGGTAGATACAATTTGGAAGACGAAGAGCGGGAAGGTAGGCCATCTTTCAGGAAATCAGATGCGATAAAAGATGAAGTTCTGAACGTTATCAACGTTGACCGGCGACTAACAGTTTGCGAAGTTGCAGACAAAATGTGACATTTCTAAGACTGCAGCGCACCACATTTTTGCAAATGATTTAAATATGAATCGAGTATGTGCTAGATGGGTACAGCGACTTCTTACAGCAGAACATTTAACAAAACGGCCATGATGGAATTGTCGAATCAATTTATTAAAAAACTTTCTCGTGGTCGTGGTGGCATACGATTTCTAGACAGAATAATTACAACCGATGAAAGCTGGTTTCATTACTACATCAGTGATATTACACCAAGACAATGCACCGGGCACACTTCTCTAAAAACTCATCTAGAAATTGATTTACTTGAGTTCGAATGTCTGAAACAACCTCCGTATAGCCCTGACTTAGCGCCAATGGATTTTGCGGTATTCCCGCATATCAAATCTTTTCTCCGTGGACAAAGGTTCGACGATTTACCTGAACAAAGACAGGAAGTAATGAACATAATCTTAACAACAAAAACAGAACAGTTTGAGAAAATATTTGATGACTGGTTGAAAAGATGTAAAAACTGTGTTGCTTTGAAAGGAGACTACGTTGAGAAAAGTGGTCGAGTTTGCGACCTGACTTCTCATTTAAAAGGACATGTTACCTTTAGAAATGTTCAAGACCGAGAATCAGATCAGTTTAGATCTGTATAGTTTGCTAAAAGGTAACCTAATAACCTGACGTGACCCTGTACCTGTAATAAGGTAAATCGGTTAAACTCTTTATAGCATATGCTGCTGACATTAATTTTATACTGCGTTTACCATAAAGGATGAATTACATTCAGATCGTGCAGAAATCATTACAAATTGTGGATTTTTACGAGACATATCCTTTCTGATAAATTTCTGATAATTATCACAGAGCAGATCAGTCGGTGTAGAAATTACTGTTCAAAGTATTTCGGAAATAGTCAGGAAATAAGAAACAGATGGTAAAATTCAGATACTATTAGCAGATGTCATTACAGATGAATATACAACGAAAGATACCAGTCAAGAAAGTGCGGTAAATGATGTAATCAGACAGATTTAAACTATAATAAAAGTTTTATTATACATATTAGCACTACATAACTAAAGCTAAAAAAAAACTAACATGAACAAAGTACAAAACAAACATGAAACAAGTCCAAGACAAAAGCTATCGTCAATATTTTACATCATTACGATCTCATCTTTCAAAGCACAGAGACGTACATTGTTACTTCTGGTTCATAGATACTGTTTGGTCTGTCTGTTGCATTACTCCATGGATCGGATGTGTTAAAGTATAAACCATAGGGGACGTAATCTTCACTTGCTTTTTTTCGCATTGGTAACAGGTCTGTTCGAATGTTTGCTGACAGACTGTAGTTGTATCTGTTTCTGAAGAAACATGTGTTGATGATAGGCCTAGCACAAAGATAACCGATACCCCCACCAAGTGTTGCTGAAACTAACATCCAAATGTTGTAAGACATAATACACATCATTAAAAGATACCCTACAAAAAGTTTCAGCATACGCACTACAGATAGAAGACAATGGGTTCCTATGAACGATTTAAATGCATATCTGAAATAAAGAATGAAACGTATTAAGAAAAAATGTCACATTGTATAAGCAATAATTATCGTTGTTTTCTTTCAGACTGTGCATATCTATCATAGCCAACTTAAATTGTTCAAATAACAAAATTTCAGGTGAATATTTACAGTAGCTTGAATGTAATTGGTCAACTTATTAAAACCTTACTAAAAGTATCATTCTTTTCTTTGCGAGCATGTCCAGTTATTCCCCCATGCAAAGAAGTTCAGGAGTGTAATAATACTACAATGGTGTTGACCTGTTCGTCATCACTTAATGTTATGCATATGTTATTTCTTTTCGGTAAACGGCCCTCATGAGCTTATGCGTGTACTACTATATGTGAACAGAATCAAAATAAAACTTTCGTATTAGTATTCGTATACTGTGTTGTCGCCAAAATAGTGCATTCAGTTTTAACGTATCCCCTTCAAATTTAGATTTAGGTTTCATCTCATCAAAACCGCGGATGGGTTTGATAATCAGAAAATGTTGAATTCATTGATGTCTAAACTCGGCCTTCATTTCTAAAACTTCATATCTGGTAGTAATACACACACTTTGAGTGTAGGTTCGTAATTTGGTCCCGATGACTATTTAAAATTATATAAAGTTATTTTGCAATTTAAAATATTTTAAGACTATGAAAGAATTGTTGATATAGCTTTCAAAAAGAGTTTATATGAACATCAACCTTGGTTGATATTGAAATAAGAATATGTGGTATTATTGCCAATGAGACAACTTTCGGCCAAAGATCATTTTACATATAAGTCAGCAAATAAAGGTCACCGTAGAGTCTTGTGTATGTTTTATGGGCTTTTTTGTGTTTGTTTGTCAGAAGTTTAAGCTCAATACCTGACATAGGTCCAGAAACATTACTAACACTATTTTTTGCACGGACTTATAGATGCAATTTTACTAAAACCATATGATTTAAATTTAATTTCTTGATAGATAAATGGCAATGGTTTCCGAAAAGGTAACACTCAAAGGGATTGAAATTCTAACTTGAGCCAAATTTTGGGGACACTAATGACATTCTCATCCCCCTTTTTGCAATATTTTGTAGCAAATAAATGCAGATTGTTGCCATGGTTACACTCAAAAAAATCATATTTCACCACATGTTTACAGTTGGAGATCAAATCTGTGAAAGATATTGTGTACATATATAATACAAACAGTAAGCTAAATTTGTTAGAAAGCGACTTGAAGGAAAGAAGAGGTTGAAGATTATTATTTTTTTCTATATTCTTACTGTGTATTGCTACCTGAAGTCCGAAGAACATGAATTTAAAAAGAATTCTTTCTTTGGGGGTTCTACTTCTTAAAGGTAGAAAGTCGAGAAGTTTGAATTTAATTAGAATCATGTGCAAAACAGTGTAGCCGAGACCATTGATTGGCGCGCTAAAATATCCCATTGACTGGGTCAGATTAGGTGAACGTTCGTCTATATTATTATTTAAATTTATATTTCAAACATTTGTAATATTCTTGATTTAAAAATTCACTTAATCAAAAATGTTTTTTATTTTATTTCCTTATTTCTGTTAACTAGACTGCTAGAAAAACACACTACAAGCTTTTATACTATCTTAAGTGGTTTTTAGAGGGGATACCCAAGAAATCTGGTGCTGGAGATCCGTCTCTTGAGGGAGGGAGGTAAAGTCTAAATGTTCACTAAGGTTTCAGATTATTGTCTGAATTAACAATACAGATAAGTATTGCTCTGGTTTAAGTCATCACATCCCTCTTATCGTTACGGGAAATCAAGCAAAAAAACTTTTTCAACATTTGGTGAAATTCAGGTTGAATATTTGGCAATTTTCTCAGGATTAACTGTTAAAATTATGATGAAATCACCATCAAACCATTGCAAAAACTATCTCCGGATGTGGAAGTGTTCCCTGCTTTTTAATGTTTGAAAGTTTGACATATATGTTTAATCATATATACAATGTGTACTTACTTGCAATTCCGTTGTTGTAACAAAGATTCCCTGAGCTGTATATAAAATGTAAGAACCTCGTACACAACTGCGAAACCAGTGGCTGCTAATAATGCGCATATCAATCCTAAAAGATATGTTAACAAAACTCATTATGTGAAAAAAAGTATTATTGCATTAGCGTTTGCGGCATTCAAATGTTTACAATTATTTTTCATTACATGATTGATTTATGAATGTTTAACGGCAGGTAAAAAATAAGACAATCCTGCACATTCAGGACTATTTAACTACAAATAAACCGTATGTGTTATTAGACGTATAAATACTCTTAAGATAATTATGTATGCTATTATTTACTACTATGGTTATTTCTTCAAAGAAAGATTACCAATTTCCCCCATATTTTTTCATGGTCCTAATTAGTAAGTTGAAAAAAAAAATATGAAAGAAAAACCTACTGGAATTAGATTATTAAAATATTATATATGGTATATTTCATCCTGTTGTCAACCATTTTACATGTTTCCATAAAATAGAAATGTAATTCTGCCCTGCATGTTGCCGTTGAAATTTTTTTTAAGAAATTGGCAAATCTTACATTGTTTTGTAAAATTTTGCTTCGAATGCCAGCTATAACCAAAATGATTTTTTTAGCTTAACATCCGATTCAATTTTGGCTTAGTAATTTAGTGGTTGTCGTTCGGTGCTGTATATCATATTTGGAGTTTCATTTCTTGTTTTGTGCATAAATAAGATCGTTAGTTTTCTCGTTTGAATTGTTTTACATTTGTCATGTCGGAGCCTTTTATAGCTTACTATGCGGTATGGGTTCTCATTGTTATAGGCTGTAATGTCATAATATTATTTGTATATGAACTGAATCAAATTAACAGTCGCAGCAACATTAAATACGGAAACCTCATACGCATTTTTAATTTTGGATTTTAAAACTGAGAGTTTTATTTGCAAATTTAAGTTTAAAATACAATTCCATGTTTATTTTTTGTGATGTTTACCTACTTCAATGGGCTTTTCATATATAAGCACACCATTTTCCTTAAAATATCGAGGGGTGTTGTGACACTGGCTGATTGAGGTCTTCAACTGTTATTCTGGTTAATGCAGATATGTCGTCTTATATATTATTTCCTAAAAGGGTATTTAGGTCACCTATTTTTGTTTTCTACAGCACACTATTGTGGCATCATAAAAGTTAATGTAGACTACCTACCTTGTATTGTTGACAGATCCCATTCAGCAAACAAAAAAGAAGAGTTGGTCTTAAGGGTAAACAACTGGAAAAGAAATAAAATAAAAGTCGAGGCAGAATAACCATATACGCACATCGAAAGAACTCTGATTATTGCTCTTCATTTTGGACAAACGAAAGACAACTCATAAATATAAAATTACTACCGAACATTCATATTCACTGTTTAAAATGGAAATGATCTGGGCAATTCAATTCGGATAAAATAACAGGATCGTTGATTTGCCGTAACTTATTTCTGTTTTAGGGGATTAAAAAAAGTTTTATTTTTGTGGATATTTCTGTATCTTACCATATGATTTTGACGACTTTCAGAAAGATTAATAGTTATAGCATATTTTATTTGTTCAAACCAACATGTATCAGACATAAGTAAAATATACTTACAAATATAACAATACAATATGAACATTAAAATTACCTTGATTTATTAGACAGGGCGACCCAGCACTTTACGTTGTATAGACACATGTCTATTATTGAAGGATGCATTTTGCCACCTTTTGTGTTGTTATATTTGACGTGTGGTTATGTTGCTGTTTCATTGGCATATACCCACATCTTCTTTTATTCGTTTACAATGTATATAGTTATATTATAACAATAAGTGAATAAGGTATGTTTAACAAATTACAAGACAAACCAACTAACTGACGAAAACGATGCGTTCAACAAATGGAGTACAAGAAAAAGAACATATATATAGAGGTCAACCTTACTATCCCGGACTAATATAACAAAACAATGCATATACTACATAATGTAATAATAAGGCTATTACCAGAAGAGAGTTTCAATTGGGCAATTGTCTCAAAAGGAAGAATGCTACGGTATAGAAAAAACAAGTCACAAACATTTGTTACTATGTATATGTATATGTACAGATACGTACCTTGTTCAACATTTTCGGATTGTCTTCATTAAATTATGACATAAATCCGCAAAATTTCGAATGAAATAGTATTACTGAGCTTGGTCTCTTCATTAGTAATAATATATAAAAGACTTTGAGTAATATCATTTCTTTGAAATCATAATTAAAATATTTATTAGTCATGTCAACACGTCTAAATCTAGCTGTAAGCTTGGGTAGATTAGTTTGCGGCATATTTTGATGATATCGATTGATTATTACCGAAAATTTATGATGACAATTATAATTATTTTTAATCACGTAGCTAGAGCAATGCATTTTTGCCAACATGAAGAATGGTTAAAGATATATGTAGTGCTTCAGGGAATGGTCATTTAAAAAAAGGAGTAAAGTAATGGAAAATTGATTTGTATTAAAGTTTTACCTGTTTGCTTGACATTCCTGTTTACCTTATTAATAAATTTAAATGCATTGCCTACTCATATTTACCAAAAAGATACCGTACATGTACATAGAAAAATGATAAGAAATGAATAAAATACACATGTACAAAAGTAACTGTTTTACAGACAAAATATTACAATTCAAAGGGATTTGATTAACATAAGGTTTATTTCTTTTAATCATTTTTGGGGATAATGTTCTTGAACAATCACATAATCAACAACTTTGTAGTTATAATTTATTGTAAAAAGTAAATGATCAAATAAATGAATGAAGAAAACAAGCCGTAAAAGATTACCTCATAGTAATAATATTTTATACTTGATTGGCTTCATGGTACAAAGTATGTAGTTTCCTAAACCGAAAATGAAGTTATCTTTCAATATTATTCTCTGGTATATTTAAACGATTGAACACTTGTTAACTGTGACTTTTTGTCTTGTGTCCCATAAGGCTAATATTATTTGCATAAAAGCAAAAATAAAAAAATAAAAAAACAATTTCGACAATATTCAAATAAATCATCGTACGGTCTGTGTTATAGAATTTACAAGAATTAATTCAAATTCAATGTTCCTCGCTTCTACTTTTTAATTTTGTTATTTTATTTGTGTTGATAGATTTGAATTGCCGGTAGCAAAGTAACGTTCACACATTTTGAATCCACAGCCCCTCTTAAACCGAATATTTTTGGGGGGTTTTCTCAAGCAAATCATGAACTTTACCATAATTTCATCTCGGGATACTTATTTTGAATTCGCAACATCTCATTGACCCCTTTTGGCAATTAACTGTAACTTTCTCACAATCTCAACCATACAATGCCACTGTATACATCTTATTTTGATTTTTGTTCCGTATTTATTTAAAGTTTCCAAAGGAGCTTTTTAAAAAATATTTTTATGAATTTCATTATACAATTTCAGTTATAAACATCATTATGGTAGAAAGTATGTTTTAGTGTGTTTTTTTTAGTTGGTGTTTTTCTTCGTTATTTTGATGCGTTTATAGTCTTATCAATCAATGGTCAGGTTAGAACCTATAGTTTTAGACCGTGGAATCAGCACAGATGGTCTTTGTATTCGAGATCATTTCCTTCATACATGTACTGACATGTAAACACATATCAAAATGTTGGGTTGCATAAAATTTTCAATTTTTCTTATCATTTTTATGGAATTGGATTTTTCTTTGCAGGTAAGAATGTTTATTATGAAAGTACAAGAAAAAATGTACCAGGTTATGGTCATACATGTGTATTATTCATAAACACAATTCAAGAACAACTGTTACAGCACTTTCTCATCTGTCTGTTGACTTCAAATCGACGAGCAGTTGACCAACAGTTGGCACTTAAACTGGAATGAAAAGTTTCTTTATACGTTAAATTTCATGGAAGCATTATAATTCCGTGTATTTTATATAAGAAATGATCGATGATAGTAAGGGGTTAACTAAGAAGCCGTAAAAATATGAAGAAAATTGTATTGTATAATTGATTAACAGGAATACAATTTTTGTTTAGGAAAACTCATTTGCTCGAGAATATAATCAGTCTGCCGTTGTGATTAACACAACCTTAGGTTGAAACCAGTGTTAAGTCACGAACGAGGAAATGATTGCATAAAATGATAACGACAAACATTACAGGGTTATCTAGATCTGTGACACGTTTAAATATAAATAAAACATAAAATAAAACAGTTCGAATCGTTTAAAATAACTACTGTGCAATTGTCGAATTGACGACAATGTCTAGTCTAGCGCTGTTGATTTAAAGTAAAGCACTGAAGATGTAAAGTCACGGGCTGTAAAGTAAAGTTATCTTTTTTACCCTGAAGTTTCGACTACTTTAGACAAGAGTGCACACGCTGAAATGTCTCGCCTTCTTTACTTATCATTGATATTATGTTGATAGTCCTAAATATAAAGCTTTATTACAACTGTCACATAAACTTAACATTAACCAAGTAAACTAAACATTGACCAATGAACCATGAAAATGAGGTCAAGGTCAGATGAACCATGCTAGGCAGGCATGTACAGCTAACAATTCTTCCATACAACAAATATAGTTGACCTATTGCTTATAGTTTAAGAAAAACAGACCAAAACGAAAAAACTTAACACTCAGCAATGAACCTTGAAAATGAGGTCAAGGTCAAATAAAACCTGTGTGACTGACATATAGGTCATAAAATATTTCCATACACCAAATATAGTTGAACTATTGCATATAGTATTAGAAAAAAAGACCAAAACTCAAAAACTTAACTTTGACCACTGAACCATGAAAATGAGGTCAAGGTCAGATGACACCTGCCAGCTAGACATGTACACCTTACAATCATTCCATACACCAAATATAGTTGACCTATTGCTTATAGTATTAGAAAAACAGACCAAAACACAAAAATTTAACATTGACCAATGAACCATGAAAATGAGGTCAAGGACAAATGACACCTGCCAGTCAGACATGTACACCTTACAATCATTCCATACACCAAATATAGTTGACCTATTGCTTATAGTATTAGAAAAACAGACCAAAACACAAAAACTTAACATTGACCAATGAACCATGAAAATAGGTCAAGGACAAATGACACCTGCCAGACAGACATGTACACCTTACAATCATTCCATACACCAAATATAGTTGACCAATGGCTTATAGTATTAGAAAAACAGACCAAAACACAAAAACTTAACATTGCCCAATGAACCGTGAAAATGAGGTCAAGGTCAGATGAAACCTGCCAGACTGACATGTATCCCTTATAATCATTCCATACACCACATGAGGCTGAGGTCAGGTGAACCCTGTCTGATGGACATGTAGACGTTGCAAGGAACCCATATACCAAATATAGTTATCCTATTACTCATAATAAGTGAGAAATTTACATAACAAAAAAAACTAAACTTTTTTTTCAAGCAGTCGCTGAACCATGAAAATAAGGTCAAGGACATTGGACATATGACAGACGGAAAGTTTGTTAGATAAGGTATCTGCATACAAGGTATGAAGCATCCAGGTCTTCTACCTTCTGAAATATAAAGCTTTATACAAATAGTTTACGCCGCCGTCGCCGCCGCCGCCGCCGGATAGTAATACCTATGTCTCACTTTCTGCGACTTTCGTCGCAGGCGAGACAAAAAAAAGTGTGAAGGAGACATTGCTGAGTTCGTTAATTGTGATGTCCTTCAGCCTTAATGGTATAATCACAAGTGTACTAGGTTAAGAGTATCTATTCTGTGCTCCTTTCAGAATATCTTAATCAGTTCCTTTGTAATATCATAGAAAATGTTAAACTAAATGATCAACGAATAAGTGTGGTATACTTCAATGAAACAGCAAGCCAAGTACACAAATAACTCAAAAGAAATTAATTTATATGTCAACATGTCGGGGCCTTTTGAATCTTGCTATGCGGTATTGGTTTTTGTTCATTATTGGAGGTCCTACGGTGACTTGTAGTTGCTAACATATACGGCATTTGGTATCTGATTCATAGTTGTCAATCATACAACATCTCCTTATTTTTTATCTAAATCTTTGAACAATAGACAGATGTTTATAGAGAACGTTAAACTCTAAATCTCTCCGAAGTTGGAAATACATTATAAACAGAAGTTTTTAAAGGACAGCCCCAACTCCTAATTTTCAAAATAACAAACTTTTAAAATTTGACATAAGGCATCCAGGGGCGTATAAGCTCAATAACAAGTACATGTATGCTATGCGCGATGTCAAAATGCCCTTTATTTAAATCTTTTAGTTGTTTTCTTTTACCCAGTTGTCTGTGTTGCTGTTAAGACCTTCCACAGTTTACAGACCTTTCTATGGAACGATATAGGCTTACTGCTATAATCTTAATGTACATCCACCGACTGATTTTTATTTTGTGTTCGTTCTGAATATGCATGAAATATATTTCGCTGGGTGTTTAAGCAAAAAACAACCAATCAACCGAGAAATATTTGTGAATATCAATGACGCATTTCGCAAGATGGACGCTGTCAAAGAATAGAGACTTGAATATGGAGCTTAACAATAATGTTTTCTAAATCTATTCTATTTTACAATCATACATTCATTTGATCATTTGTATATTCAATACTGATATATTAACACAAGTTGTGATACCGTGAATAGGTTTTGATCGATTGGTGGACTGTTGATATTTTAAGTCCAATGGCAAATATTTCCTTTTCAGAGCGGGAACAAATTAAAAATAAATCTAGGCTTTGCAAAGTGAGCCAACCAGGATGACAGGCGTAGAACTTCGACTGTCACAGAAAATACAGGCATTTTCGATAGGTCAGAAATGTTACCTTGCTTCGGACCACCTGAAAGGGTTGTTATACAAGCGAAAAGAGTGTGACACTTTTCCTACATGAGAGATCGGATTTCATGTTCAAAACTCCGACTGAACGTGACTGTGTATTTAAACATCCTGCACAGCAACCCCCTCAGATGGAGTTACTCTTATTTATATACACCGGGAAACATACAAAAGCAATTATCACATGAACTTAATAAATAAATAACAAAATAAATTTCGAACAAAATAAATTCCGACAACATTCATGTATATATGCAACATAAATATTTCCATTGTTTGATTTAGTTATAATTTTTTGATGCTCTTATCGTTCTAGTATCAAGTAATTGAAATGTTATTGTCATTCCAGGATGTAAGTTGTGACATAAAGAATCGAACAAACTCTTGCCCGGATGGATTTTGTTGCGTCAGAGACCAATTTCTACCCCAGTACGTATACTGCAAGAAGATCGGTCAACTAGGATCTCATTGTCGACATATTCCAGATGAATCTGTGTGTAACTGTGACACTGGACTTACATGTGTTCCAAACTTAGACGTTCCTACTTTCGTTTCTATCTATGGGATGTGTCATAATTTAACAACAAAAGCAACATAATTAAGAAAAAATAGGCTTCAAATACATGTTGGGATCTTACAATAATTGTTAAAAATTATACACATAAATGTATATCTTACATATTACATGTACACACTATATGGGCTTGAAATGATATCAAAATACCAGTAACACTTTATAAATTTTGTGCGTCTGAAAATCTGATATTGATTTACTTTCATCGTGACCGATTAAAATCAAAAATAATATTCCAGGCGCACATAAATACTGGGGAAATTATATATGACCAAAAGGTGCATACACAAAATTATAGCCAAACAATATAAGGTCCACTTTTTCTTGGGTAATTAGAACCTTATTTTCCTGGACTACTGAGCTGATAATCGCTCGGGCATTAACCGTTACATCCCACCAGCAGCGGTATCCACCAAAAACTAGAAAATGAAAATAGCACTTTATTAATTTGTTGGGTCCGAAGATTTTTTCTAGATCTACCATAATCGGTAACTCTAAGCACCAAATATTTGAAAGCCGTGGAAGCAAACATACTTAGGGAGCTATGAGACCAAAATGGACCAAAACATAATAGATATTATTTAGTCATTTTAGGTCAACTTTTAAGTTTAATGAAAACATTTTTTTTTGTGCGATATCGACTTCATATAGATTGGTACTTCCCGATGATCCAATGACCCGATAGCTCGTTATATAATAACAAACCATGTAAAAAAAACAAGATTGACTAAAGAATAGACATATGGTCGCATGTGGTCTTCTACCGACCTGTCAAAATAAGGGGTACGTTTGGCTGCGCTGGATGTATAAATACGCAGCCACATAAAAATAAGGAGATGTGGTATGATTGCCAACGAGACAACTATCCACCAAATTTCAAATAAAGTGGATGTAAGCAATTATAGGCAACCGTACGGTCTTCAACAATGAGAAAAACCAATACCGTATAGTCGGCTATAAAAGGCTCCGACATGAAAAATATGAAACAATTCAATTAAGAAAACTAACGGCCTAATTTATAACAAAACAATTCACGAAAAACCAATATGACAGACGTCACTGAACTACAGGCTCCTGACTTGGGGCAGGGTATACATATTGTTATGCGTTTACTTTTCTACATTGGCTAGAGGTATAGGGGGAGGGTTGAGATCTCATAAACATGTTTAACCCCGCCGCATTTTTGCGCCTGTCCCAAGTCAGGAGCCTCTAGCCTTTGTCAGTCTTGTATTATTTTTAATTTTAGTTTCTTGTGTACAATTTGGAGTTTAGTATGGCGTTCATTATCACTGAACTAGTATATATATTTGTTTAGGGGCCAGCTGAAGGACGCCTCCGGGTGCGGGAATTTCTCGCTGCATTGAAGACCTGTTGGTGACCTTCTGCTGTTGTCTGTTCTATGGTCGGGTTGTTGTCTCTTTGACACATTCCCCATTTCCATTCTCAATTTTATGTATATCCATCCCTCATCCCTAACAACAAAAAAAGACACTAAGTACAGATCTGAGAGTACTCGCAGTTTCTGACAGCTAGTTCAAAGCCAATAGCAACTAATAAAAAAATCATGTATCTAAGACTAAAATATCAATAAGTACACATCCAACGGATTTAGTGTAAAGATGTCATTAACAGGCAGAGAAAAACATGATCTTGTGCAATGCCAAAATAGGTATCGACATATTGTAGTACCGTGAAAGTACATATATATGTAATATTTAGTATGGTTTTAATTTACTGATAACAAAATAAATATTTATACCAATAAAAACAATATTCAAAAATCTAATTACTGTGTTGAATAGGTAACCTTTTAGAATAAGTTTATTTAAAGGATTTATAAGTTTACCCGGATCGTATCTAAATTTCCAAATCTTTGTATCTATGGACGAATTTAGTAAAGGTTTTAAGTAATTTGTGGTAACGAAATCCAAGACTTGACAATTTACAAGTAATACATATATTACGCTCATTGAAATCCAAAACTTCACTTCAGACAAGGGCATAACGAAAGAGTTGAGATATATAAACACCGTAAGATCGTGCCAGAGGAACATCACCGTCGACAAAGGAAAATTAACAATAGGGAAAGAAAAAATATCCCTTTTGTCGTAAATTTGTGTATTTAGTTTCTGGTGTAAAACTGAAACGTCTAAATCTAGGAAAGGACACTTATTGCTGTTAATATTTAATTTATTTAAGGTAAGTTCCTGTGGGTTAATGTCCGTCCGGTCCTTGTCCGGTCAGAATGGGGACTTTAAATTCGATGCTTTGTGTAGAGATAAGGCCACGCCCCCTGCTCGTTAAGAACCCTTGCAACAACTCTCTGAAGGATGAAATGAAATATTTGCCACGGAAAGTAAACCAAACAATAATCAATCAATCAATGAAACAAAACAAGAGTGCACACGCTGAAACGTCTCGCCTGCTTTACTGATTATTATTTTTATGTTGATAGTACTAAATATAAAGCTTTACTACAAATATCACATAAACTTAACATGATCCAAGACAATGAGGTCAAGGTCAGATAAACCAAACCGGAAATACTTGTACACCTTAGTAATTCCGTACACCAAATACAGTTGACCTATTGCTTATAGTATCTAAGAAACAAACTTAACCATGATAATTTAACGTTGACCAATGAACCATGAAAATGAGGTCAAGGTCAGATGATACCTGCCAGACAGACATATACACCTTACAATCCTTCCATACACCAAATATAGTTGACCTATTGCTTATAGTATTAGAAGAAAAAACCAAAACACAAAACTTAACTTTAACCACTGAACCATGAAAATGACGTCAAGGTCAGATTACACCTGCCAGTTGGACATGTGCACCTTACAATCATTACATACACCAAATATAGTTGTCCTATTGCTTATAGTTTAAGAAAAACAGACCAAAACACAAAACCTTAACACTAAATGAACCGTGAAAATTAGGTCAAGGTCAAATAAAACCTGCCAGACTGACATGTACATCGTAAAATATTTCCAAATATAGTTGATCTATTGCATATAGTATTAGAAAAATAAACCACAAAAACTTAACTTTAACCACTGAACCATGAAATGAGGCCAAGGCCAGATGACACCTGCCATTTGGACATATACACCTTACAACCACCAAATATAGTAGACCTATTGGTTATAGTATCTGATATATGGACTTGAACACGAAAACTTAAACTTTTTCACTGATCTATGAATTGAGGTCAAGGTCAGAAGAACTGTCTTACAGGCATGAAGACCTTGCAAAGTATGCACATACTAAATATAGTTATCCTATTACTCATAATAAGAGGGAAATTAACATTACAAAAAATCTTAACTTTTTTTTCAAGTAGTCAATGAACCATGAAAATGACAATGGACATATGACAGACGGAAACATCATAACATAAGGCATCTATATACAAGGTATGAATCATCCAGGCCTTCCACCTTCTAAGATGTAAAGCTTTTAAATAGCCGCCGGGTTACTATTCCTATATCGAGCTTTCTGCTACAGAAGTCGCAGGATCGACAAAAAAACTATAAAAACATGGATTTATTTGAAACCAATTTTAAAAGGGGAACTTCATTTTTTAAGTACTTTATGACTTATCATTATTGTAGAAAAATTTCTTATTGTTAAGGGCGTAACTTCTCAACGATGAATGCCAATTTTGTTTAAAAAATGACCCCACTACTAGTCTCTATTTATAGGACCACAACATGGTGTTGAAAATTTGAAACGATTTGATAAACAAGGCTTACTATTATAAATATTCGCAAACAAAATTGTGTGATATTTACATACAGGAGGATTAACGCATGCGGACGGTCCATATGGTCCTAAATATATGTATTCCGACTCTCTTTTGCGTTGGAATAAATATGAAAAATATACTCATCATAGATACCAGGATTTAAATTGTGTACGCCAGACGCGCGTTTCGTCTAAGACTCATCACCGACGCTCGAATCAAAAGAGTTAAAACGGCAAAATAAAGTACGAAATTGAGGTGCATTGAGGACTCAAAATTCCGAAAGGAAGAAAAATTCTTTAACATATTATAAATGTATGGAAAAAGTATTTCCTATACCAAATTTTGAAAGCAACGTATCTAAAGCAGAATACTTTCGATTGATTCATATACTACATTATAAAAATAATTAATGGGTCGTTGTCTCGACATAAAATGTCATTTTAACGAAATGATATGTAGATATAACTATCTATATACTTACATGTATTACTAGGTAACGACATACCGATTTTGTTACATTGACATATCGTATCGAATTGATATCAAAGTTTTCGCGTTACTACGATATATGATATCGTTAACATGATATAGTATGTCAAATATACGGCATATTTTATTTGCGATGGCACTTATCGGCTTCCATATTAAAACTGTCTTGACGATTTATTTCATTTGTAGTCTCATTGGCATTCATATCACACGTCTTTTTTATATAGAAATGCCGAACATTACTGCGTCCCATTGCATTCCACGGGATAACATATTAAGGACAATCGTATGTTAGAATTAATGGGCGTTCGGACTTATGGACGTTTTGGTTTTGGGCCTTAAGAATAAGAGGCATTTTGACCTTCATCATTTTAATACGGAATGACAAAACGAACTAGTCAAATAGTGAGATTCAAATTTTGATTCAATGATTATCTAATAATAATAAAACATTAATAAGTATTTTGTAAAGTGAAGCAATTCGTTGTTTCTCAGAAACGAATATACACAAAACACACAAAAGGCAATAACGTTAATAAATATATACAATGCAGCACTACGTGTATACAAAGCACGATAGCACTATAGTCTATACAGACAATACGTTGAAACGTATTATTTTTGCATGACATTATATATTTACATTGTTTGAAAATGGAAAAAAAATCATATTTCAAATTGCTTTGAAAAAATCTACAAATTACAAATGACATGTTACACGAGTTCACAAAAAAACGACAAGAACTTACATTGGAGTTTTGTAATGCGGTATTTTTTTGTAACATGCATGTACAAGTACATTTTTGAATTTCATATATTTGAATTAATCACGCGATACCATCCCATC